GACTTCTAATGGTGGGGGCAAGCGAGGATGCGGCCGTTTTCACAAATTTTGATAAGAATTTATAGTAGAAAGTTACTTTTATTATAATATCATATATTATATCAAGGCAGAAAAATATATTTTGAAAACAAAAAAACGAGAAAAAAAATAAACTTTAGACCATCGTGACAAAAAAATCAAAACAGCCTTTTTTTTTCAAATTTCAAAGTATCCTAGCTGGAAAACGAAGAGCCTGGGAGAAAAACCTTACATACAAAACCTGTGGATCTTATTCAGATCTACAAAAAAGCTTATTAAAGTTACCCCTCCATGGGGCAGCATTTTTGAGAAAATCGACTTCAAAACTTTCAATACATTTTCAGAGAAATTTTAACTTTAACGGCTTATATCTCGGAGACAGAAACAACCTGGAATATCAGTAAAAAAACAATTTTGTAGGTAATTTATTGCTCTTTCGAAGGAAACCTGCTTTGAGACAAGCGTTTCGAAATTACCGAAGTTATAAGCGAAAAAGGAGTGCCGTGTCGGGTCCCCAACATTTTCCAGGATCAAAATCTTCATTATTTTTTCCCGTGCTTACGAAGCGTCAGAGCGAGAAACACCAGGAGACATTTTCGACGTATTTTTGGGTCCTCTATCCGGTGCTATTTTATTTTTCGAAATTCGGAAAAGTAAATGCAGGGCGTGTATGCACCCTTCTCTAAAATTGGGGGATAGGGGCTAAAACCCCTCCGGTAGGACCGAGAGGGCTGAAACTTGGAATATCAACTTTTCTGGACCCCTTTCACCTATATTCCAAACTTCATCCAAATCGGCCAAAAAACAAAAAATTAGGGGCCCCCAGAGGGTGTTACTTTCCAGATAGGGGCTCTCCGCATTTTTTTTTCGATAAAACTCGTACCAAATTTCAGCTCGATAGGATCATCGGTTCGCCCTCAGCGAATTTTTGAAATTTTTTCCATGATAAACTAGGTAAAAAAAGCCAGTGTATTAGGTACATCATGATTATATTCATGTGATGTAAACATACCTATCATGAAAACAAACGGAAAGGAAATAATAATCCAACGACTTATTGAAAATACAGGTTTGAATACTACACAACAAAATATTCAAACTATTTGTTAATGTAGGTATAGCAAAAACAACAAAAACAAAAAACACACTTTGATATAAAAATAAATAGGAACTCAATATTTTTCTACCTACCCACTACATACAATACCTAAATCACTATGGGGGCTCTGCCCCCATAGAAAATTCACTACCCCATTGCCCCCATGGTTCCGGCGCCTATGTAGAAAAGGACTCAAATGTAAGATGATAAAAAATATGGATGACAATATAGTCTAGGAGGCAGTGACACGATTTTCGGCACTTATTTTCTCAGTCAGACAACATGGATAGAATTGTAGGGTTAGTAATTCTAAGCAAAATTCATAGATATATTTTTAGGTGGAGTTTTTCCAATGGGTTGAGACGCAAAATGCGTTACATCTTACGAATGCACGGCCCTTTTTTTCCAGTGATAAAAATAGGTCTACTAATGAGAAGTATGCTGAAGTTACGTAAAAAAATAGTCCGGCTAATCTGTGAGTATGGATAATACGTCTGGCAAGTGAAAAATTGAAGATCCGAAAAATTCCAGCCAGACCAGCGTTGCCAGATGTCAAATTTAAAATCATCAGGATTTGAGAACAAAATTATCAGATTCCAAGAAAAATTATCAGAAAAAGTTTCTGTCAACTTTTTTGACTTTTTATCTCTATTTTCATTTTGCTGGTTCTAGCTGGGACTCTGTAGTGTTTGTTGCTCGCACCACTACATCAAAAAACTCAAAACCAACAACAACCTTCAATTTTTTTAATTAATTTTTAATTTTTATCTAAAAATTTGAAAAATTTGTATTAAAATTGTAGTTCCAATAAACTATGGTAGATTAGCTCGTCATTATCGATTATTGAATCAACAAACAAAAAAATAAATGATAAGAGTGTCATAAAAATAAATGACGTGACCGTCATTTTCATTTTGACTGTGACATGACATTGTCCACAGAATACATATCCTTACGGATAGAAGGCAAACTGCCTAATAAAATTTTGGGGAACAATGCGCCGTCACGGCGCGGTGGATGCGATCCGAACTATTTATAATAAAGGTTTCTGTAATCAAATCAGCTTTTAAAATAGTTCTCCCAATGTCAATATTTTCAATATTATATTTGTTCGGACTTCAGTTCACAATTGAATTACGCTTTCGCATTTCTTTATATAGGTTTGATATGACCAAATGCGCAAGCGTAGTCCAATTTAAAACTGATTTTGAACTGAAGTCCAAACAAACCTTTTTCCTCATTATTGAATATTGACGGATTTTTCTTCCGAGTAGAGCAAAAACGGCCAAACTTCTTGTGTTTTGTGTAAAATATTATTTTTTTTTCGAATTTAGGAAACATTTATCTGGATTTAAAATGCACACCAACACCAAGACGAATTCTCATTCAGAACTATTTTGACATATTTTTTTTAAACATAGGTAACAGGTAAACTGCCAAAGTAAACTCTGACATATTTTCTGGTGGCGTTCATTGTTGGTTCATTCCGCACCTGTAGTTCTGTTTCTGTTTCACTCCAGCGTCCCCAAGCGGATGCGATCCGAAGCTTTTTTTTTAGGCCCCGCCCTCCATTAAGCTTTTTTTTCTATCCGTGAGGATATGTGTTCTGTGACATGGTCAGAAAAATTGACTCACATCCCTACAGATCACTCGATTATCACAATTAACATGAAGCAAGACAATACAGAAAATAGTGAGATAAAGAAATCCAGAAATTATAAGAACATGGATATATTGAAATACCAGCTGAGACTTATCGACAGATAGTGGCCAGCTAACTGTTCAGGCTGTGACATATTAGCAGACAATTTTACCACCAATCTTATATCTTATAGATTTATTGAATGAATTTTCACCGGAAAAAGAAACAATAGTAAAACAAAAATGGGGCAACAAAATGTGGTGGAGTCAAGAAATTGACGAACAAATAAAGATGAGCGACCGTCTTTATAAAAAAGCAATACATACAAAAACGGATTGTGACTGGAAAATATACAAAATACAACGGTTCGGATAGTTTCCCAATTTCTTCCCAAATAACGACTTTAAAGGATTAAGCTTAGCAAATTAATAAAACCCCTAGGCAGCTTGTTGCAGTTTCAATTGAAAGAGTAAAAAAAAAACACTTTAAAAGGGAAGGGAGGAAAACTAAAACCTTCTTCCGAATTAGCGGAATCCAATAAAAAGCAGGCTGTGAAAAGCATTAAAGTGAAGAAAATATCCCAAACATGAACAAAAGGAGAGAATTATTGTAAGGATGATGATTCTACAATTGAGCCAGTGTTGGATGACGATTCATATATGGATAACAATTTTCTTCATTATTGTTGGTTCAACGTTTTCGTCTTTTTTCGTGTTTTAGGAAGATTTTATACAGGGTGAAAAAAAGTAAGTTTTTAATACTAATTATTGGGTGGTCCATAAAGATAATTGTTGCTTAGGTAACTAACTAGAGATAGTATATACGCGTCGTAACACGTAACATGTACTGCGATTCATAGGAGGCACAGCATTAATATGGCATCAACCATTCTCTGCTTTATTGTATAACCATTCTGAGAGCAAAATATTATTATATTATATTTCCTAGGTGGAAAAGCTATATATTCTGTTCTCGAGAAGCTCAAATAAATTGAATTGACTTTAAAACCATAGAATATCTTAAAAATTTTGTCGAACACTATCTAAAATTAATACATTTTCAATTCAAGGATGATATCCTGGAAAGTCCATATAAAATTGAGATTGCTATGACAATTTGGATTGCGCTGACAATAGATGTCAATTTAATAAGTTCGTGACATTCATATTTTGCTCTCAGAATGGTTGAATGCTTATACAATAAAGCAGAGAAATGGTTGGTGCTATATCAATTGACAAAGAGGACTGTGCCCCCAGAAATCGCAGTACATGTTACGTGTTACGACGCGCGTACTATATTTAGTTAGTTACTCTTAGGAGCAAGTATCTTTACAGATCACCCAATAATTAGTATTAAAAACTTACTTTTTTTTTCACCCTGTATATATAAAATCATCTTGAAACACTAAAAAAGACGAAAACGTTGAACCAGCTATCGTTGAATGAATGAAGGAAATTGTTTCAAGTAACTGAGACAAAGAATCAGGGTGATGAAAGTCGTTCTTCAGTTAAACTGTAATTTCTGCAAAACTACGAGTGTTATTCAATAACCCTTCAAATTGTTTTTTATCATTAAACTACTGATTCTTCTAAAACCCAGAAAAAAAGCAGGAGTATGTTTGAGAAGAAATGGCGACGCCCTGAAATTTGTTAAACTTTGACTGTTCCATTGTCCATCACTCCATCCTGTATGTTGTAGATAACGTTTCTGTTCATCAGCACGATACTATATGCCTTGAACACCAAACAATGCGCCCCAAAATGCTTCAAACCGCAATCAAATATCGCCTATACTTTCTGAGATATTTGACTTCAAACATATCTTGATGCATATCGAAGTTCCAGCAGTTCATATTTTAATGTTACGTTGCGGAAAAAATCCGCTTACGTACGTATATCAAGACCAGGTCCATACAAATAACTCTGAGAAACTCCGCTCAAAACTCTGTAATTAAAGGAGTAGGTAAACTACAATTTGCTCTTACTCCATTACTTAGACCCTTCTTCTTATGAGGTTAACTATCCAATTGTTTAAACATCTTCTCACACCAGAACTTGCGTAAAGGTATCTGTCTACCTTATCAAAAGTCGAAATCCAGGAAAAAAAAATTCTGTTGAAATTGCTTCACTTCATTGTGATGTTTGGTCAATAGACGTGGCGAGGTCCCTTTCTTATCATTCGAAATTTTGAAACTCGATGAGGAATCCATTAAATGATATTAACTTAACTTTGTTTTTCTAGATGATTGGGAGATACCATTCGAAAAAATCACGGATCTTCAATTCATCAGCTCCGGTGGCCAGGGAGCCGTTTTTTCTGGATACCTAAACAACGATCTTGTGGCCATCAAAAAAGTGTCCGAACTCAAAGACACCGACATTGCGAACCTGCGGAAACTCAACCATCCAAACATAGTCAAATTTCAAGGCGTTTGCACTCAAGAACCGTGTTTTTGCATTGTAATGGAATTTTGTCCTTACGGTTCCCTCTTCAATCTGCTCAAAAACCAGAAAAACGTGGTGACCATCAACCGAGTGGTCACGTGGGCCAAGCAAATAGCTAGTGGTATGCACTATTTGCACGTGCACAAAATCATCCATAGGGATTTAAAGTCACCAAAGTAAGGTGCCTATGAAATTTTATCAAAATCCACTAATTAAGCTTTTTTGCAGCGTACTTATTGGTGACGACGAAATAATCAAAATCAGTGATTTCGGCACTTCGAAAACCTGGAATGGGGTGAGCGAAAAAATGACTTTTGCCGGCACCGTGGCCTGGATGGCACCGGAAGCTATACAAGAAGTTGCTTGTAGTGAAAAAGTGGATATTTGGTCTTTTGGAGTGGTATTGTGGGAATTGTTAACTTGCGAAGTACCTTATGATGGAATGGAACAAAGTAAGCAATTGTGCAATTGTGGTACCTATAATTAAAGTAAAATAGTATAAATATAGATATAATCACCAAATTAAAAAGAAAAGTATTAGGAGGGTTAGATCTCGCTTTTTTCCATCTTTTAATTCATGCATTATTTAAGGCTTATTACCACTTTTATTAGCACACCTAGGCCTAGTTTTACTTAATATGATCACCCTCAAATAATAAGCTACATAAGTAGAATTCCATATTCTGACTCCTTTAATCAGCCTCCATTTCCTTATAAGTATCACAAATGTAAAACACATTATTCATCTTTTAGGTGCAATAATGTATTCGGTGGGATGTGGCAAATTGAAACCTCCGATTCCCAGCACTTGCCCTGACGGTTTCAAGCTGATCCTGCAAATGTGCTGGAAACAAAACCCCAAAGAACGACCGAGTTTCAAGCTGATCTGCAATCATTTAGAAATAGCGGCCGTTGAAATAATGACGAAATTCAAAGACGATCAATTTTTCAAGACTCAAGAATCGTGGAAAGCGGAAATCAAAAGCCAAATCACACAGTTTGTGGAGCAGATGAAGCAACATAAAATCGAGTATCATTTGAAAGAGGAACAACTGATCAAACGGCGAGAGATGGAACTCAAACATATATTGGACATTAGGGAATTGTTAGACCGAAAACTAGAAATGATTCATCAAGTTCACGCTGAACTAACTGGCATGGTGCACAGAGAGAGAGCCAAAATGTCTGAAGTATTTAATTTGGAAAGAAAAGGGGACAGACGAAGACGTTTTTTGAATTGGAAAAAGGATAGAAGGCCTCGGACGAGCAATAATCAAAGTACTACTCCCACAAGTCCAGATTGTAGCCTGACAAGTCCTGAAAGTTCCCATTGCGCTATTGCCAAAGCGTCTTTGTATACAACTATAAATCCTGCCACAGAAACTATTACTACTCAAACATCGACCGGTTCCTACAGAAAGCGGCATCATAGGAACAACTCTGGATCACCAAGGAGTTCAGGGTTTGGTTCTAGAGCTTCTAGCTGTAGGGCATCAGTAGTTGTAGATGCTGAAACTCAAACAGGTATAGTTATAAAATCCTAGAATATCTTATGTTTGTTTATTTTTTAAATGAAATGTGTTTTAGATTGTATGGATTTGAGCGAAAACGATTTGAGTAGCCCGACAATAAGTTGCAACAACACTTTTGTGCCTCACAATACTGCTTTGCCAACTGTCTACCCTCAAAGAGTAATTTTGCAAGAATTTAGAAGTGTGACTGACGATGAAGGCCAAAACGGCAACAGTGTGCAATTGCATTATTTGATGCAGCACTCACAACCCAGTAATAAATAAGATTTTATTTAAGTGTTACAGTTTTTAATAATCATTTGTAGGTATTCCAGTGTTCACAAAATTAGACTCGAGAGGCACTAGTCCGATAATATTCGACAGGGTAGAGGATACGGTGAATCGAAACTTGAACCCACTGGAGGTATCCAGCGAAGAAAATCTAGAGGCCATCAGCAGGAAAGTGTCAGCTATTGCCATCTACAGCCCAGAAAATGGTAATATCGCCGAAAATTTGGAGGAGATTATTCGGAAACGGACGAGATCCGAAACTAGGGAAGTGCTGGATAGGGACAGCACTGAAGATGCGGCTAATGAGGATAGTTTTACGGACGAAGAGGGGGAAATTTATAACCAATCTTTGAAGAGAAGAAGGTAAGAATTTTATTGTTTTAATAATTTTGTATGCCTACTTTATATTATCTCAATTGGAACAGTATAAATTGTATTTGCAGCAGTAATGTATTTTTAGACGTTAATCTTTCACCTGTCTGAAATAATTAATAAAATCATTAATAGATAAATAATGAATACATTATTATCTTTATTTTTATGGTAAGGCACTAATATAGGTATTCATTTTGGAAGAAATAATTTTTAAAATTATCTGTGAAAAATACAGAAGAAGCCTGGATTGGCATGAAACCAAAGTTAGCAGAAATACGCATTTTTGGGTGCAAAGTTAATACACATATCCCTAGAGAAAACCGTAAGAAAATTGACAGCAAAACTGGTCAGTATCTTGATTAGACACAGAAAGTAAGGTGTACATACAACCCTTCCAGTAATAAGGTTTTTGTAGCTAGAGATGTTATATTTTTTGAAAAAGAAAAGGGTTCATTATTGCTAGATAACACTAGAAATAAACAAGAAAAACAGTTTTTTATTTTTCCCGAAGCTCAAGAGGTCAATGACATTGATGATGGTGACTTTTATCTTTTGAGCACGATGATTCATCATCTACATCAGAGTCTGATGTCGAAGAACAGCATGAAAGTGATCCAGAAAACTATGAAGAAAATTATCCAGATGTAGATCTAGACCCAAAGTTTGGGATTAGGAAGATCTGAGAGAGTCAGAAAATTACCTGAAACTCTAGACGATTATGAAGTTATTTGCTACTATGATTGGTTTTTCTGATCCTGAGAGCACTGAAGAAGCTCTAAGTAGACCTGATTATGACAAATGGCGTGAAGCTATGAATAAAGAATATTCAGCGCTCATGGATAACAAAATATTGGAACTAGTAGACTACACAGATAAAAAAAACATTTAAAATGCAAATGGGTATTTAAAGTAAAAAAGGATTCAGAATCTAAGATTCAGAGGGTGCAATTGTGAAATATAAAATTCTTTGATATAACTTATGAGGCAAGACTAGTTATTAAAGGCTGCAGTCAAAAGAAAGGCCTTGTTTATGGATAGACCTACTCCCGAGTTGTGAGATACACATCTATAGGATATTTACTTGCTATAGCCGCAGAATTTGATTTGAAAGTCGATCAGTTAGATGCTGTAACGGCCTTTTTGCAGGGTGATCTTACCGAAGAGATTTATATGATACAACCGAAAGTTTTTTCATAACCAAGCGAAATCTTCAGGCTCAGAAAATCATTATGTAGTCTTAAACAGGCCAGCAGAATATGGAATTTGAAATTAGATGAATGTCTTAAGAAATATGTGATCTGACTCAGTCCCCAAAAGTGATTCATGTATTTACTATAAATTTACTGATTCACTGATACTTATTGTAGCTAATAGCTATCTATGTAGATGATATGATTTTACTGTCCAATGACATAACTGCTAAAAAGAGTCTAAAAGATCAGTTAAGGTCACAGTTTAAAATGAAGGACATTGGAGAAGCCAAATTTGTACTAGGCATGCGAATTACACGTGATAGAAAGAATAAAAAGAGATCAGTATGCATAGAAAATATGCTAAAGAAATGTTCGAGTGTAATCCAGTAGATATTCCAATTTTGCTTGGTGAAAAATTATCCAAAAGTATTTTATCAAAAACTGAAGCTGAAATTGAGAAAATGTGTATGTAAGTACCATATCAAAAACTCGTAGGAAGACTAGTATTTGCAGCACAAGTATCAAGTGTTCCGTGTCTAATTTTCAGTCAATCAAGTTAGGAGATTGTTCGACATATTTTTGCTGCCTTTGGTCTTTTACTACTCTGTCCTTGCCTGATTTTGCCTAGCACAGAATAAAGGGAACTGATAGTATAAAATCTTTAATGTATAGGTATTTCACATAACAGTCACAATAATTATTCTCCCTGATATCCATAGTTTCTAGCAATCTCTGAAAATAAGATTGATTTGAGATAACATAAGATCGTATAGAGCAAAATGTTTACCATTTTTTTTGAGTTTTTACTATTGTGTTCTCTGTTCTGTGTTTTGTTCTGTAGGAATCAGGTAAACCAGCATTTGTTCTCCCTATTTTTGCAGAGGTTTCCATTGTGCAACTTTGAAAACATCAGGTTGAACTAAAGTCAACTCTGTGGCACCACCAAAACTTGAATGAGTATTGAATGCGCAATAGCATTAATTCGAACTGTCCAAAAATAAACGAAAAATTCCCTAGAATCCGGTTCGTGTAACCAGAAATTTTACTGTTGGAGGAATTTTTCTTTTTCTAGAATCACACAGAAGAAAAGCCACGTTAAAGCTTTCTTCTGAGGCATTTTGGCCAATTTGAGTGAACACTTGGAAAGTAATTGAGTCTTAAACGGTGGCTATTAGTCTTATATAACACCACAGCAAGTATATGCTAATTTAACAAGATTTTAGTATGTATAAAAACCCAAATTCTGGAAAATAACTTTGGTTCGTGTCACGTGTCGAGTGTCGAAAAAGCCAATCCACATTGATAAGTCCTTATTATTCATCATTTTATTGTTGTATTCTGATCCCTGTTAGAGTTTTATGCCCCCAAAAACGTAATTGATTGCAGTACTCACAATGCCTCAATTCTTGTTGAAATCGAGTTTTTATAGCGTGAACTCTCTCTTTTAGGCCTTTTATATTGGGTAACGTTATATCCCTTTCTGATGTTGTTGTTATTAGATGCACAAAGGCACCTGATTGCTGAATTGCTGGTGCTCAATCCTGAACCTGATAGAGTGCATGTGGAGCTTTTGGGGCCTGTGAATCTCAATCGCACCCCAAGAGGTTCCTAGTAGTACCACTCCATCAAATAACTGTATACTCAGGTTAGCGTAGTGTTGTGCCGTTTTGGGAACTATCCACCCTGTCTGTATTGAGGGTTCCACTATCTCCTTGGGAGCTGGAGCCTTTTCTGGCTTTACTTACATTATTGACTGAATTGGGCCATTGATTATTTTTATTTAAATTATTGAAATATAAATATTGACGTATCCCCTTATCCAGGGCCGTACTACTGTTCATTAAATATTGAATTGAATAATAAGAGAGTTATTTGAAATTCAGGCTATTATTTTGTTATTTCCTAATGGAAGTTTTAGGTCCGTGTAGTATTATTTGGCATCGAAGATTTCCTGTTTTCGGATCATCAGGGACTCCGTTTAACTGTAGGGCACTAAAGCAGGTGGCGCTCATTTCTGATTTTAGTTACTCACACACCTCTCCGCAGTGAGAGCTAGTCGGCCGCCCTGAAAACGGAGGTACCCTTTCTGTTTTTTTGAACTGCCCCCCCCCCACATAGGTAACTCATCCACCCCTAGTTACCCCTGTCTATTTAACATCTGTTTCTCCTTCTATATTTTTATTAAACCAGTATTATTAGGGTTTTGGTAAAAGAATATAACACAAGGCCTGATATATGCTACACTGTTGATAAGGTCAGTTGATCCAGGACATATCCACTGGACTGCAACAAAACGTATCCTCAGAGTAAGGGTAGCATGAATTACAGAATGGAATTTGATGTTACTGACAAGAAGATAAATCTTGTCTGCTATGCACATGATGATTGTGCAAGCAACATAGACGATCGTAGATCAGTGACTGGATATGTTTTATTTGAAAATGGTACCGCTATTTCCATGGGCAACTATAAGGGACATTTAACAGTTGTTCTTTCCAGAATAGAAAGTAAGTAGGTATATGGCTATGAGCATGGCGGCACAAGAGGCTTTATGGCTAAGAAGATTAAGTGAAGAATTTGGGCAATGTACAACTACTACAGTTTTGAATATTTACAATCAAGGAGCCATAAATTTAGCAAAAGTAGCAAGAACCAAAAACATAGGACATAGATGTAATACATCATTTCCTCGAAGAAGAAGATAGCTGAAAAATTATAACAGATGAGATATGTCTCTGCAGAGAAGCAAATAGCAGATTCTCTAACTGTCGATAAGAAGAAAACTGATTTGTGTGCCAAGAATCAAGGAATAGCTTTCACTTGACTCCACGAACATATCCTGCCGACATAGGCTAGCACCATAAACGACAACGACAAAGAATATAGTTCATGGCAACATATGACAACATTGATGGCGGACGAAAAACTTGTGGAACGAGCTGAAGCATATAAAGTGGGATATACTGGGGTAATCAGAAGTGCGGTGGGAAGGCGTAGAATAAATTATACTTTCGTCGAGACACCTATTGCATTAAAGAGGAGAATCTTCTAATGGTGGGTTTGGTTTGGTTAATAAGAATTAAGAAGCACACAAGGAATATAATTACAATTAGAATCATAAGTGATAGAGTTATATATTATATATCTTGTCTACAAAATAAATGAACAAATTCAGTTGAAGATCATTCAGGTGTACGGGCTTACAAGTGCCCACCCACACAGAAGAAATGGAATAGTTAACAGGTAACAATAAAGAAATCCCTAATATCATAGAACAAATCAAAAGTCTGAAAGTGCTAAAACGGAAGTTGAAGACAGAATTAAGGAATACAGGTTGAGAAATAAGCAAGGACACATCATACACAAACAACAGGAGATTCCGAAAACCATTGAAGAGTGCACTAGTGGTCAGTGGAAACAGTGCATTAGTGCACGGTAATGTAATACACGTTGTCTCTGAGAGTCAAAGAAGATCTTGTAACCTGATGGCATTCAATTTGTCCCAAAGCAATGAGGTTGAAGATATGTCTAAGACAAAAGGATATGCTCCAGAGCCTCACAAACTCAACTAGAATTGGACAAACTAATAAAGATCGGCACTTCGTCTAACTTTAGATTCTTCTGAAGTAGACTAATTTAATATTAAGAAACAAGCCGAAGCTGGACAGAAACTTAAAAATATTTCTTGAGGCTGATTTAGGCACAGAACAATGAGCAGAGATGAATGTTTTGAAAAATGAACTCAAAGAGACGACGTAATGGTGAACATAATCTCATTCTGAAATATGTAAATGG